AGTCGAGCAGGGTTTCTGGACATAATCTTTTCCCGTTTCGCAAATACTGTACAGTTTAGTGGTGGTGATTATGTGTTTGACAGAATGAAGTGTTGGTTTTTAATGGGTGATGTACAGAGTGATTTCATTATGGGCATGGCCATTGCTTTCATCATTTTATCATCTGGGTTTTGGTTAACCAAGTTTTTTCTTTTTTATTTTAACTTCTCTTCGATGGAATGTTCCGTATATCATAGTGTCACAGTTGGAGTTCCATATTAAAGGGCCAGAATATAAAGACTTGATAATATCATCTGAAATGCAAAATTATTTAGTCTTTGATTTATACCTGTCTCAAGTTTCTGTGAACATCAGTCATGGAACATATTGAGCAGAACTGCAACTGTGTGCATGCAAGTGTGGCCAAAAGAATATATATATTTTTTTTTAAAGTAATTGAAAAAAATTCACTGACTGCATTGCCCATAAAAGAATATTTGTGGTAGTCTGTAATAGTCTGTAAATGAATTGAATGATGTTGAATAAAAGCTTGATTGAGTTTGTTTCTGGTCGACGAGTTTGTGTTCTCGACTAGCTTGTTTGTCTATTAATCGAGAGGAGCTTGAAAGAAAGTTACGCTTGTTCGTTCGAATTAACATGAGTTTGATAGCGGCGTTCGTTGCTCTAATGAATTTGAACGAGCTGATTGAGTTAATCAGACATTTTTAATCTTGTTTACTAGATTGGACGAAAGTGTAAATTGTAAAGCAAACTTGGGTGGGTGATTGGCTTGTATACGAAACATCTCAAAAGAATTTGAACATTTTTAACTAAATTATTTTTTAAACACTCACAAGTTCGAATTAAACGAGTTCGATCGTGAGAGTTCGTTATTGAAACGCTCACAAACATTACTCTAATGAATTTGAACGAGCTGTTTTAGTTGATCAAATATTTTTAATAAACTTGTTTACTATTACTCTAATGAATTTGAACGAGCTGATTTAGTTAATCAAACATTTTTAATAAATCTGTTTACTAAATTGGACGAAAGTGCAAAGCATGCTCAATTGGGTGAGTGGTAAGCTGTCAAAATTGGACGGATTATTTTGAATAAAGTTAATTGAACGGAATGAGATATATTGTAATTAAATAAAATTTAAAATGTAATAATCTTAAAATCGATTAAAATTTGATCCTGAATTAAAGTAAGTTATTTAGAACAAATTTAATTGAATGGGATGAGTGAGAAACGAGGGAAATGATAGGTAGTTAAAAAAATTTGAATGAATAAATATTGAATCAAAGTTGATATGTAGAGAGAAATGATTGATATTTTTTAAATATTTTAATAATATTGCAGATAGTGAGGTTGAGCTAGATTTTCAGTTAAAGTTAGTAAAATGACTGATACAGTCAAGCTGATTTTAATCAATTTTAACTCCTTACCAGTCTTCTATCATTTCGGAAAAAAAAAAAAAAAAAAA